TCTGTTTTTATCTAGACTTTTAATAGCGATGGTGGATTTGCTCTGTTTTTATCTAGACTTTTAACAGCGATGGTGGATTTGTCTCGGTGTCATGAAACAATGGATCTATGTCAATGCTTTGTGTGTATACATAAGACAGAGCTAGGATAACATTTATTTAAGTAAATGGGAAATGTATATTGGATATATATAAAGTATAAATAAAGACACAATACATATTTAAACTTGAAGAAATTCGGTCAAAGTTAACTAAGACATATACTTTAAATTTTATGGTTTATCTCACATGGATTTCAGTTGGTAGAAATCCACTCCAATGCATCTGTCTGTATGTTTAAAGTTTTAAAAATGTACTGAACAGTGCAGAACATTATAGATTTATGAGACGTGAGACTTGTTTTCAATCATTTGTTTTTATTTTGTTGACTGTAGATACATTGTATATAATACTAATGGTTAATATATATCAACTGTCTGAAGACCAGACAAAAGGTAATGTTCTTCTCCATTGGGAGCATTGAGACATTCAATAATTCACAACATTGTATTATATCATGTACGTGTATATTGTATATCATGTATATCTTTCTATATAATGAATCTCTTCGCTCATATATTTTTCCAAAATTCCAATTTTGTTTTTCAAATGTATCCAAAATTCCACGGGCAGCGCAGGGAACTTCAGCTATAGTTGTATATTATGGATAAAATAAATTCCGGAGTTCTCGATGCCTTATATCTACGCACATTGAACAAAGCCTTTACAGGAAATTTATAGATAATTTGCCAAAGAAATAAACCGGTTTACGGTCGTAGGAAATCATGAATTTAACACAAAAGACTTTGTTAATTCCGTACAGTCGTTCTTTGAAGTCTCATCCTTTGTGGGTAACCCTGTAGATATGACATGATAGATAGTAAAAAAAAAGAGTTTTTTATCGATATTTTTCGGTAATGATAAACTCTAATGTACCAAACACTACCCACTCCTAAATTTTTATCTCTCCAATGTTAATATTGACTGCATTCTTCATTAAAAAAGTTTTATATTTGCTTTATCTATCTATATAGTAAAACAAGATATTCGTATATATATATATGTTGCGTATAGCCGGCCAAACGACTGGATCAATTGGGCTGACATTTTTTGTGGACACTCATAAGTGGCCGGGGGGTGTTATAAGCTAAAAATAAATTCGAAATTTCTTTTTCTTTTTCAAATTTTTTTTTCAAATTTTATTTTCCACGGGCAACGCCGGGCCCTTCAGCTAGTATGTTTTATTTGCTGTTGGTGGGGTGGCTATAGTGTTTGTACCAGTTCTTGTTAGCTCACTGAAGTTAAGCACACTTGTCTACCGCTAGTAACTGGATTGGTGTTCGAGATTCCCGCACTCCTCACAAACCTGAAGCCAACATCTGGTTAATCAGTTATGACCACCTGACGGATGTATGAGAACAGAGGGGCGGCTGTCAACAATTTTCGCAGCAAAAGGGTTCGTGCTTTCTACTCAACAAGCAAAGAAGCTTGAAATGGATTGATCCAAGTGAATGATGATAAAGAGAGGAATGATGGACAAGTAGGGAGAGTCTATGGTTGCCAGCTATAGGTACCTGGAGGTATCTAATCCGGGCTTACAAATGATTGGGAGCAATGAGTGTGATGTTTCCTATGATCCTATCTGTAAGGCACTCGCGCTTCATACCAGTGGTATCTGCTATTCTCAGGCCTAAGAAAAGCACGCAGCTGGATTCTCGTCAGCCCTCCTCTTATTATAAATGACTCGTGGATGGATGAATGTGCTGCCAGATTACAACCCCTGGTAGATCAATATAAACCCAGACAACACCAAACTTTCTCAATAGAAAATATGTAATTAAAAAATCGTATCATTTACTTCTTAAAATGTATTGACAAAGGTATGAAATTTAAATTTCTCATTTTTATTTAAAAGTATACTGTAGACACATTTATAGTGACCCTCCATTTTTTGTGACTGACATATTCCCAAACGTATTCACTTTAAACCTTTGTCTGCGTAAAATTATGAGTTGTTTTCCTAGGTCTGTCTAAAATTTTCTAATTGCTAATTTCTTTAGTTCTGTCTAAAATTTCTAATTTCTAATTTCGTAGTTCTGTCTAAACTTTTCTAATTTATAATTTCGTAGTTTTGTCTAAACTTTTCTAATTTCTAATTTCGTAGTTTTGTCTAAAATTTTCTAATTTCTAATTTCGTGGTTTCTTCTAAGACCGAAAAATAGCTGAATGTTAAAGATCTTTGGGATACCGTTGTGAATCAGGTCTTCCACTCTTGAAAATACAAAGGAAATGAGTCTTGGCCACAAACTCAGATATTGTAATCCCAAAATCTTCTAAACCCAATGTAGATCGTAAACCTTAGATATTTCAAACTATAAATCTTATTAGATCAAATAATCCAAGTTTGAAATATCAAAGGTTTACATCATCAGCTTACAAAGATATAGGGATTCGAAAATCTAATTTAAACTCAATTCCTTTAATAATTTCTGAAACATAGTGAAGCTGAATTCATAGAAAAAAAGATAAACAAAGAAATCTAACTGAAAGTAGGAAAATGCATTTAATTGGAAGTTAAGTAATTTCTATTGGAAGTGAAGGAAAATAAACAAACTAATTAAACTTCCTTTCATCAAATATATAAAATCGTATTGGCGCAATTGTACCTTTTAGGTTTAACAAGGTCCTTAAAAATTAACATTCTAAAATGTCGATTAAAAAAAAATTCATCATAAAATATTTTTTTGCCCTGATAACAACTATTTAGTTATTCCTATCAGTTTGTTACTAATTCTAGCATTATAATGCCATTTCTTAAAGTTTTATTAAATTCTATTAAAGTTTAAATAATCGATAAAGGAATTGAGTCTTTGACACAAACTCTTATTTCTTTCAGCTTTGCAACCCGATATCGTAAATCTCAGATATTTTAAACTATGAAAATTATCAAATAATCTAAGCTTGATCAACAGTTTTCACCATCAGGTCGCAAAGATACAGGGATTGGAGAATTGGAGTTTGTGGCAAAAATTTTATTTCTATTCAATGAATTTGTACTTTTAATGAAATCGGAATATTTGAACCATCTTGCAAACAAAATATAAGAATTTTAATCTATGAACGGTGTTCTGTATAATTTTTGATGTGTTTATGTACAGTGGAAGGCAATTATATAAAAAGAATAAAGACGACTTTTTATTTATGTTTTTATTAAATGACAAGTTTACAAGTAATTAAAGATTCTCTTTGTTTCCATGTTGTTTAAAAGCTTGATAAAATTTAAAATTTAAATCGAAAGTTGTCTTCATTTTATTGATATAATTCCTTACCACCGTAACTTTTTAAACCAAATATATTTAACTCCGAGTTCTAGATAAAATTAGATTAAGGAAGGATATAAATCTTTGTAAAGAGTAAATGCCACAACAATCGGGTTAATCCCACTAGAAACCCTGTAAAATATAAAATTGAGGGCTTAACAAATATTAAAAATATTTTTGAATTTTTAAATACATTGTATATATAGATATATCATATCATGGAAAACTGAATAGTAACATTTCTAAATTTTAAATATATTTTTTTCGCATTTCCCCGGCTAATTTGAAAACTTAAATTAAATGTAGAAACTTTTAAGAACTGTTTAAAATTTGTTTTGACATTTTTCACAATCAAATCCAACTTTCAGTATTGTTTTTCTGATTAGAAGACAGCTACTAAAATTCTTATGTAACCCTTTTTTTAAGTTCACACTTACTAAGAATAAGAATAAGAATAAGAATAAAAATAAGAATAAGAATAAGAATAAGAATAAGAATAAGAATAAGAATAAGAATAAGAATAAGAATAAAAATAAGAATACATACTAAAAGTTAAAGAATGAACGGAAAAGAAGTTTCTAGAACAGGTGCAAACTGTCCTTAGTAACAGGAAATAAACTCAATATTAGTATTTTCCAGCTTTTCCAGGTTTTAACCCTGGAGAGAAACATCTTTACCCAGTAAATGTTAAAAGTTAAAAGCTGAAGCATCTTCTGAAAATGTTTTAAAATTTGATTTTGATCAATTTCATCTTCGAAAATCCATTGAAAATATAATATATCAAGTATATTAAACAAATGCTAGTAACCTAGCGCAAGACTTTGATTACTAGCATCAAACTCTAATTTCAAAATCTATCTTTGTAACCTGATGTCAAAGACCTTTGATTTTTCAACCCATGAATTTGGCTGCAGTGGTTGGCGATTTTATCCATAAAATGAAGACGACTTTTTTATTTGTTAACAAGCTTTTTTCTAATTACAAGTTTACAAGTGATCAAAGCTTTTTTATTAAAAAATTCTGTTGACTTCTATGTTGATGTGCATCCATGCTGTTTAACAGCTTGATGTAAATCAAATTGAAATAAAAAGTCGTCTTCATCGTATTGATAAAATAGTAGATAAAGTCGTCTTCATTGTATTGATAAAATAGTAGATAAAGTAGCCAAAGTTTAAAAAATCAAAGTTTACACTTAAAAATTACAAAGGATTTTTGGCAAGTACTCATTTCTTTTGAAGGCATTTTCAAATACTATATATTGATACTTTGATTATTTAATAAAATAGTTTTGCAGATTATTAAAAAATATCTTAAATCATATTTTTTTATTCTGTTGAAAAACATCCTTGTAGTAAGATGCAGTACACTGTTCCACACAAAATTTTGCCCATTCGGTTCAGACGTTTTCAGGTTATTGAGTTAGAGTTATAAAATATACGTATACCCATAATAATGCGGAAGACGACATTAAATTTAATTGGATTTAATGTTGTTAAAGGGGAAAAAGTGGTTTTAAAATCAACTAAAGTGAAGTGGATCCGTTTACATATACAAAATCATGTTCTCTGGATTATGTAAAATCATAATTTAAATCTAACAGTCGTCTTTCTTTACCATAGTTTCCTGGATCTCACTGTATTTACCTTGCTGTTCTCCATCTACTCCAGTTATGTTTAATAATTCCCTTTACTTCTGTATTCAAGAAACAGTATGGAAGAGTTACTGAGAATCCTAAAAACAAACATTTTTTTTAGGAATATAATAGGCAAACTTAAATTATATAGGAACCCATTATTGAATTAGTCAAGATTCAAGCCTAAACCAGGATAAAGAAAGAAAAAGAAAGAATTAAAGAACTAATGATTGAATAAAAGAATCATGAAAAATAATTGTAATGTAAAATATAGATTATAAAAAAGACAAAATGAGGAATGAATGAAGATAAAGGAAGATAAAGGAAGAATAAATGAAGATAAATGAAGAAAAAGAAAGAATAAATGAATATCAATGAAGAGAAAGGAATTATAAATGAAGATAAATGAATGAGAAAGGAATTATAAATGAAGATAAATGAATGAGAAAAAAAGAATAAATGAAGATAAATGGATGAGAAAGAAAGAATAAATAAAGATAAATGGATGAGAAAGAAAGAATAAATGAAGATAAATGAAGATAAAGGAAGAATACATGAAGATAAATGAAGAGAAAGGAATTATAAATGAAGATAAATAAATGAGAAAGGAAGAATAAATGAAGATAAATGAATGAGAAAGGAAAAATAAATGAAGATAAACGAAGAGAAAGGAATTATAAATGAAGATAAATGAATGAGAAAGGAAGAATAAATGAAGATAAATGAAGATAAAGGAAGAATAAATGAATATAAATGAAGAGAAAGGAATTATAAATGAAGATAAATAAATGAGAAAGGAAGAATAAATGAAGATTAATGAATGAGAAAGGAATAATAAATGAAGATAAGTGAACAAGAACGAAATTATAAATAAAGATAAATAAATTTAATAAATGAGAAAGGAAGATGATAAAGATGAAAAATGAAAAAAGAATATAAAAAAAGATGATTAAATAAGAAAAGAGGATCTGAAGAAGTTAAAGGAACGAGACAGAGACAAAAATTATAGACAAAGAAATAAAAACGTAAAAATTGGGAAGGTTGAAATATCTTACAATTAATGTTGAAAGAAAAAAATGTCGACTAAAATTTAAAAAACCTAAAAATATCTCGTGGTTCTAAACCTACCCTGAGTGGAGAGTAGAACTGCTCTCAGATGTTCAAATATAACAAACGATATGCTAACAGTATCTGTGGGGCCTGAAATCATTACAATATTAAAGAAAATCGGAGCTGTCATTTGTTTAATTCTTAAAATGTACTAATAAACACAACTTTAACACTCTAAATTACGAAATAAAAAAAAAACGTTTTTTGTTGTAGTTGGGTTTAAGCGATTTTTTTTATTTCGTAATTCAAAGCGCTTTTTCTGATCGTTTTCAAGAAGCGGAGCAGAAATATGCACACAAGACACTTCGTAATTATAATAATTGAAATGAAATAATAAAATAATCAGTTTGGAAAACAAAAAAACATGAACATCTTATCTAAACTTTGATCAGACAAAGTTTTTATTGGTACCGTTGTGAATTAGACATGGCTTACGTTGGTTTACTTTTAGGCGAAAAAAAAAGATTTTGGTTTTCATTTTTTGTTTTGTTTTATAGTAACTTTCACTAGACCAGACTAGATATATAGAGATACGATATTGGTAGGGAAGGGCTAAGCGCTGCGGCTGGGATTGGCAAGGGGGCCGAGCGCTGCAGCAAGAACAGGCTAGGGGGCTGCACGCTACATTTAGACAAACTTGGGACTTTACCGCTTCAGAAATGGCAGATTTGGGAAGTTACCATTTGGGAAATTTTCCTTGGGAAGTTGCTGTTGGGGAAAATGCCTTTGGGAAAGTATCTAACATCGCTCTGTATTCTATCATTAGTGAGAGAAAATATGAATGGATTATTATTATCATTTATTAACTCTTATTATTATCTCTCTCTTATCCATTAATAATAAGGTCCGTCTCTCATTCTTGGAATTAGGATAATAGAAGGTTTTGCACGCCTTGCATTTTTAACAAGATACAGGATAAAGGATACAGAATCCAGATCATACTTGCTTAAAAGATTAATTTGGTGTAAAAGTAAATGTTTCAATTCTATTGTACTTAAAGGGCCAAAAAAATTGTGGAATGCAAAAAAGGAATTTAACTCAAAAAAGGGTTGTATGCCTAAATATGAAAATTTTATTGTTTTATTCTTAACATTATAGCATCTGTACTTCAAATTCAAAACTAATTTGAACCACTTTGTAGTAGACGTGTAGTAAATGCAGTTCTCTTAATACTTTGTCCTAAAACTGTATCAGTCCAGGTACAACCCGTCTGCTATCAAAGTCAACCAGGACACAATCCACCAGGCTACAATCCCGTAAACTATCAACACCACTACCACTGGGCGCGATCTCGGTATCTATCAAACCAGCTATTAATTGGGCTCTAAATGCCACACAGGGACACAAGCGTATCTACCAAACAAGCTATTACTCAGGCTCTAAATGCCACACAGGGACACAAGCGTATCTATCAAACAAGCTATTGCTCAGGCTCTAAATGCCACACAGGGACACAAGGGTAACTATCAAACAAGCTATTACTCAGGCTCTAAAAGTCACACAGGGACACAAGCGTAGCAATCAAACAAGCTATTACTCAGGCTCTAAATGTCCCACAGGGACACAAGCATTGGCTTGCCTTTAATCAATCTCTACCATATACTGAGGTATGATCTCAACCCAAATATTTCAACTGGGGTACAATTACTCTACACTGTAATCAAAGCGGAGTTCTTATTCTAACTAATGTATTTGAGGTTTATATGTTACAAGTTAAAGTTAATAGATGTAATTACAATTCTTAAGCCGTTATCTATATCAAATGATTAAGAAAATTATGTAACACATTTACTATGTAGATATTTATAAGATTAGCGAGGACAGATATAATGTAGTTAAGGTATCTCTACACATGTTTACAGCACAGTTTAAGTTGAATGTACGTATTGAAAGGATTAACATGGATAGATATAATCCTAGTTAATCTATCACAATACATGTTTTAATTATATTACGTAGCTCATGTTAATATATCCAGGTATGTTCATGCTAACAAAATTGCTGTATTTGTTGCAGAATGAATAGTTAATAATGTACAACGTACTGCAGGTTTACAGAATATCATGTGACCCGATATTTATTACAGACGGAGGTAGAGGGAACGGCAGATAGTAATATAAGCAAGACAAGTGGGTGTCCAGAGAATATAGAATAGGAAGATAGATTGATTGCTGCATGCGTTTAAACTCTAATCTAAAGGAAACTTTAAAATAGTTTTGCAAGTAAATTTATAAAGTGAACTGAAGTGAAGTATGAAGTAACCAACTGAAGTGAAGTATGAAGTAGCTAACTGAACTGAAGTATGAAGTAACCAACTAAAGTGAAGTATGAAGTAACCAACTGAATTGAAGTATGCAGTAACCAACATTTAAATTACACAACGGTCTTAATAACTATTAATTATAGGGTAATGGTTTGATTACATTCTTTCAGAGATAGAATTGTTAAGTTTATTTACAACACCCTGTATATGAAAATTTAGAATTATTGATGATTTTAGATTTTAACAGATTAATTAAAAACCCGCACAATTTCCTAATAAAACCAATCTATAATCATGAAAGTAAAAAGAAATAGAAACTGAAAACTAAAATGTTTAGATACAGAAACAGAAAAAATAAATAAAACACGAGTAGGAATATATTTTTTTTTTCTCAGAAAATGTCAAAAGTCAAAATTCTTTTTAAAGTTTCTAATTAGCTGACAACTAATATCCAGTGAGCAAATTAAGAATATAAATATTACTCTTTTGAAATATCCTCAGATAGTCTCAGCAGTTTTAAGGTTTATGTATCTCCTCTGTATATATAGATACTCTGAGCAGTGTTAAGGTTTATGTATCTCCTCTGTATATAGATACTCTGAGCAGTGTTAAGGTTTATGTATCTCCTCTGTATATAGATACTCTGAGCAATGTTAAGGTTCATGTATCTCCTCTGTATATATAATTACTCTGAGCAGTGTTAAGGTTTATGTATCTCCTCTGTATATATAATTACTCTGAGCAATGTTAAGGTTCATTATCTTCTCTGATTATACAGATACTCTGAGCAGTGTTAAGGTTCATGTATCTCCTCTGTATATAGATACTCTGAGCAGTGTTAGGGTTCACGTATCTCCTCTGTATATATAATTACTCTGAGCAGTGTTAAGGTTTATGTATCTCCTCTGTATATATAGATACTCTGAGCAATGTTAAGGTTCATGTATCTCCCCTGTATATATAGATACTCTGAGAAGTGTTAAGGTTCATGTATCTCCTCTGTATATAGATACTCTGAGCAGTGTTAAGGTTCATGTATCTCCCCTGTATATATAGATACTCTGAGCAGTGTTAAGGTTCATTTATCTCCCCTGTATATATAGATACTCTGAGCAGTGTTAAGGTTTATGTATCTCCTTTGTATATAGATACTTTGAGTAGGGTTAAGGTTTATGTATCGCCTCTGTATATGTAGATACTCTAAGCAGGGTTAAGATTTATGTATCTCCTCTGTATATAAAGATACTCTGAGCAGAGTTTAAGTTTATGTGTCTCCTCTGTTTATATAGATACTCTGAGCAGGGTAAAGGATCATGTTTCTTGTATGAAGTTGTATGTATGATAATCTCAAACCAATCCCAGGGGATTTCTGTGTCACAATTTCTCCAGGCTACACTATCTCTCCCTCTCTCTCTCTCACACACTGCGGGTATGTAAAGGGTGTACACCAATAAAGGGAATTTAGTGACACTGAAAAGGAATTTAGTGACACTGAAAGGGAATTTAGTGACACTGAAAGGGAATTAAGTGACACTGAAAAGGAATTTAGTGACACTGAAAAGGAATTTAGTGATACTGAAAGGGAATTTAGTGACACTGAAAGGGAATTTAGTGACACTGAAAGAGCATTTAGTAATACTGAAAGGGAATTTAGTGACATTGAAAGGGAATTTAGTGACACTGAAAAGGAATTTTATAGATTTTGTTTGATTGCTAGAGTCTGTTTGTTTGCTAAAGTTTTTTTTTGTTTTCTAGAGTTTTTTTGTTTGCTAGAGTTTGTTTGATTTATAGAGTTTGTTTGATTTATAGAGTTTGTTTGTTTGCTAGATTATTTTTGTTTTCTAAAGTTTGTTCGTTTTATAGAGTTTGTTTGAGTGCTAGAGTTTGATTTTTTGCTATATTGTTTTTGGTTTGCTAGAGTCTGTTTGTTTCCTAGAGTTTTTTGTTTTCTAGAGTTTTTTTGTTTGCCAAAAAAAAATTTCTAGAATTTGTTTGTTTGATAGAGTTGTTTGCTAGAGTTTGTTTGTATGCAAGAGTTTGTTGTTTGCTAGAGTATGTTGTTTGATTCCAGAACAGAAAACATATTGGTGGTTATCAGGACGTCCAAAAAACTTCTCTTTCAAAATTTAACCAAGAACATGATGGGAAATTGAAGCATAGGAAAAAAAAACATTGTAAAACAAGAGTGTAGTGTAGAGAATGAACAAGGTCTGTGACAGGGTGTGTGCAGATAGGTGAGCACCCTGTTAAATTGCTTTGACCTTCATCTATTTAATTTATACATATTTCTAAAATTCAAAATCCAAATATAAAAATGTTGAAAAGTTTGTTTGTTTGATAGATTTTTTTGCTAGAGTTTGTTTGTTTGCTAGAGTTTGTTTACTTGCTAGAGTTTGCTGTTTGCTAGAGATTGTTTGTTGGTTGAAGTTTGTTAATTTCTTAGATTTTGTTTGTTTGATAGAGTTTTTTTTATAAAACTTGTTTGTTTGCGAGAGCTTGTTTGTTTGCTACAGTATTTTGTGTATGTTTTGACTGTATACGGTTGTATTGTAGAAAACAGATGGTTCCTATTTATCTACTGTTCACCAAGTAGAAATATTACAACTAGTATTAAATAGTATTAAAATGTTTACAGAAAAAATGCATTGGATGAATTTGGTATTGAAGGTAGCACCATTTAAAATTTATTATTGTACGTTATATTTGATTAAAATCAAGTTCTATTTTTAAATATATAATTTATAAAACAAGTTAAAGGTTTAAAACATGTCCGATCTTTGGTTTTTAAGTTTTCCCAACAAAACAGAGTTGTATTCCAATCAATGGCTTAATACAAAGTCCATGCAATAAAGTAGCTTTAAGGCACCGTAAAGTGAACTCCGTTGATTACAAGTACCCGGCCTACTTTTAATAAGCTATACCAAGGTGCAGTACGGTACATAAAAATAAGACAATATATAAGGCAAAACGGGACAGCACGTAAAATAAATTTTAAATAGAATTTTGAATTTTCTGATAATAAGAATATATAGTTCATTCGTTTAAAGATAATCGTTGTGTCGCACTGTTATTCAACTCTGTGGTTCATGCAATATATTAGGAATATATCCGTCGTTAAAAACCGGTATTGTTAACAACTGAAAAATTATTTAAGACAATTGTTAAAATTTGAGATTTAAAATATCATTTAGTAACTAAATTGTTGATTGTGTAGATAGAAAAATGATCACATAAAACGCCACCGAAAGTTCTCTGCCAAAATTCATAGTTTAAAATATCAAAGGTTTTCTCCATCAGGTTGCAAAGATATAGGGATTACAAATTCAGAGTTAACGACAAACATCTATTTCTTTAGCTAGCTTGGCTGCGATTGGTCAAAATTACGTTTTTCAAATAATCCAAATTCAAATTATTATTATTATTCTAAATTAATAAATAGACTTCAGGTTCGTTGTTCATATTTAACAAGTATTATGATTATTTTGATATTAGTCGTCAAAAATCAAATATCAAATATCAAATAAGAATATTTATAATACCCTTGAAATACAATACTATTTTTATTATCATTAATAATATTTTTAATATTGATATGCATTGATAATAAATATAAAAATATGAAGATTATAATATAATAAATATAAAAATATGAAAATTATAATAAAGAATTAATATTTATATATTACCTAGAATAGTAATTAAATAGGTAATGCCCAGAAGGGGTATAATTACAAGAAGAGCTTTCGCTGCTTTCCAGTTTTGGTGATCCTGCTCACCACGTCCTGAAACATTATTATTACTTTTTCAACATTGTTTTTTAACATTATTCTGGATGTGCTCCAATGTACTGTGAATGTCGTCTTCATAGCAATTTAGAAGCTTTTTATGGCTGACAAGCGGAGAAAATCCCTCCCCCTCTCTCTCCAGCCAAGTTGTCACTTCATCTTACGCCAACAATTAGTTTCGTCATATGAGGTTTTGGAGTGTCTATTGCTATGAAGACGACATTTATAGTACATTAGTGCATAAGTCGAGTATCTTACCTTTAAAAAACAACCTTGATTTTTATAGATTTAAACAAAAACAACAATTTTCAAGATTTTCAATGAAAATTTCTATTTTTATAAATATTTCTTTGTTGAAAGCTAGTTTGCATTTTTCCCCGAATACCTTCAATATACATTTATTTTTAACTTTCGACTTGCTTAATGTTTTAACCATTGAAAACTCATACTCATACTCATGCTCATACTCCTACTCTTTCTCCTGCTCCTTCTCCCGCTCCTGCTCCTTCTCCTGCTCTTGCTCTTGCTCCTACTCCTGTTCCTGCTGCTGCTCCTGCTCCTGCTTCTGCTCCTGCTTCTGTTCCTGCTCCTGCTCCTTCTCCTGCTCCTGCTCCTACTCCTACTCCTACTTCTATTTACCTGCGGATCTGAGCTTGGTAACAACAACGTAAAAGATTGAGACGAGGAAGAACGTATTAGTTGCAAGAAGGAAGAACACAGGAACTATGTAGACCCACTCTATACTAGACTTCTCTATAAACGGGCATCCAGGAGGAACCTCAACCTAGACAATACATATAATCTTAAGGAACCTCAACCGAGACAATACATATATCCTGGAGGAGCCTCAACCTAGACAATAGATATAATCTTGAGGAACCTCAACTTAGGCAATATCTATATTCTTGAGGAACCTCAACCTAGACAATAGATATAATCTTGAGGAATCTCAACTTAGACAATAGATATATCCTGAAGGAACCTCAATCTATACAATATCTATATTCTTGAGGAACCTCAATCTATACAATAGATATGTTCTTGAGGAACCTTAACATAGACAATATCTATATCCTGGAGGAACCTTAACATAGACAATATCTATATCCTGAAGGAACCGGAACATAGACAATATCTATATCCTGAAGGAACCTTAACATAGACAATATCTATATCCTGAAGGAACCTCAATCTATACAATATCGATATTCTGGAGGTAACTCAACCTAGACAATACATATATCCAGCAGGAACCTAGACAATATCTATATACAGGATGAACCTAGACAATATCTATATACAGGAGGAACCTAGACAATATCCATATATTCAGGAGGAACCTAGACAATATCTATATCCAGGAGGAACCTAGACAATATCTATATCCAGGAGGAACCTAGACAATATCTATATCCAGTAGGAACCTAGACAATATCTATATCCAGGAAAAGCTCAATCTAGATTTCATGTCTACGACTGTTTTTAGGAGAATACTAAAAGCCATCTAATAAATATCTTGTATTTGGTTTAATCAGATCTTGTATTTGTTACTCTGGAACATCTGAACCTGAAACTTATAGCTGAATGAAATATAACTAAACTGGGTTTTGGAAAACCAAGCTTACAATTGCTAGGTCTGTTTGTAAAATTTATTTTGATCTCGATATCTATTGTGTCAACTTTTGAAAAAGGTTGATAAATGATTGATCCCGCAATTTTAGTCATCTTGGCTAGCTGGGTTCTGACGGAGGGATTATACTGGATCCAGGAATTAAGAGCACAAAAGTTTTGAAAAATTCTCTTATATTTACAACCCAATTTTAATTCGGTTAATCTTATCATAGCTCTACATTTGATGGGCTTATAGAGCCTAATCTATTTTCTATCCAAGGTATTTTGTTTGAAGTTTCTGTTGTAAATTATGAACCAAGTTTGAAGAGTCTTGGCTCCATCATGCTGTAATATTAAATTAAACCACTGTTTAGAGAATCTTATATAACATTTTGAATTTAGACTATAGAGCTGTGAACTTTAGAATTGGATACCCTTAATCCCGATCTCTTAATCTGAATATCCAATGTGGACACTTTTAATCATCTGCTTAATCAGCTCTTTTTCTCTCCCTCCCAGTTTCCGGCCGATAAGAGTTCACTGATTTAATTGCGTGCAAAATTTCAAATTTAACAAACCAAAAATATAGCTAGAATAAACGTAAATGTTCTCTCCGCCGTTTACATATTTAAAACTAATCAGCTGACAGCAAGCATGGCGCAGGCTTGTAAGCGGGTTTCAAAATAAACCCACATAAAACTAGAACCTTAACCACAGATAGTATACCAAAATACCAAAATAACTCTGTTCTTAGAATTTTATCTTAAAAAATGTTTATCCGTCAATTTGTAAGTAAATATTTTAAACTTAGCTTCATCAAATAAACTTAGAACTTCTTGTTTTAACGATTTAGGATTATACAAATCCCGACTGGCTTTTTGGAGAGAAACACAAAGATATCCATCACAAATGCTTAGATACAGGTTTAAAGAGTACGTGAACCGTTGATGATACTCTATAAATGTACGTTAACAGAACCTTTAACATGGGTAAAGCTCTGAATTGATAAAATCTACGAGTTTAAATCTGTTTGATCCTCAAACTTCTTGTAAGTTTTCTAGAGAAGAGATTTGCAAAGAAAGATGGATGATACATACTCTAATATAATCTTTATTTATCGGTATGCACTATGCATCTTACATCTGTGCAATAAAGTGCATTTCAAGTCTTTACACATTCCTAATATAATCTTTATTTATCGGTATGCACTATGCATCTTACATCTGTGCAATAAAGTGCATTTCAAGTCTTTACACATTCACATTATACATAGTCAAGTTCAAGTCAAAACTAATTCAAATGAAAACTACCAAAATTAGGTTTAAATATGTATGATATACAGTGTTTCCCACATAAGATATAATGATAAGAACAGGGTTGACCAAATCCGATTTTTTTTCACATATTCCTAACACCTTAGAGACGTACCTTGAGACCTTGTCATCTTTATTTCATTAGTATCGGGTAAAATATAAGCTTCTGAGAGAAAAAAGTGTGAAGTTTTCCCAATAGCTTATTTCTGTGATTTGTCGTTTAGTAAACCATTGAAATACAAATTTAAAGATAAAAACCAAAACTAAAACTTCAGAACGTCATATTTTAAGAGTTTTGAATCGTGTTTGCAACCTCATTCTTTGTGGTTAACCCTTCACTTAATCTAAATAAAACTAACTTGCACTTTTTGATGCAAAGATATCCCAACTATCAAAAAGAACCTGTTCTCAAAAAATATTCGTGAAATGAAAAAAGTACCGTTAGCACTTGGAGGAGTGGCGTGAAGTGCTCCGAATTTCTATTATAATATTTATACCTGAGTTTCATTATATGATATGTTGTATATATATTGAGATCTTCTGTAGGTAAGGATGGCCCAGAGAAAGACTATTACGAAAGGAATACCTGAAATTTAGGTCTGAGTAAAAAAAGTACCAATTAGTGACTAATGAATATGGACTGGTATTAATAGTATGAATAACTAATGGAACATTGAAGACTTATCAAAGACTAATGACTATTAATGATAAGGACTGAAGACCAATGAATAATGACGAAAGACAGATGATTAATGACTAATGACTTATGACAATTTGCAAAAGACTATAAGCTTATAACTAATAACTATTGACTAGTGACTAAAAAATGATGACTAATGACGATATATCTTCTAACAACCTACCCCAACCGATCAGGAAGTAATGTCTAAGCTTCATGTTTGCGTTTTCTACGGAGAAAGTTGCAATAACTTGAACAAACAGATACAATCCTAGATAGAGGAAGAATTAAACATATATTAGAAGAATTCAGAACATTTTTCCATCCACATCTAACAGAACATACGGCAACTAGTTTTTCCTTTCTGTTTTCATTTGTTCCATCTCTAGGCGCAGGGTTACACTTCAGAGACGACCATACAAACTTTATTCGGTGCTTTTCTTATACTCTTGGATCCCTGTAGTTTATACTGTTCCAAATCACTTGGTTTATAATTAAATACTAAATGGAAAGCAAAAAACAAAATTCAGTATTCAGAATATGAGATTTAAGCAATTGTTTTATCTATTCTGGGTAACCCTGTACATAAAACCTGCTTTTCCGATTCCATTGAAATATTCAAAATGGCTGCACATTATTCTTTAAAAAATTTCATTCCTCTCTTATAAATATATAAACCCTTTGATGATAATGTGTACAATACAAAGTCTTGTTTGTTGCTTTTTAAACCATAATTCTTATTTTTTGTTGATTAATTCTTTAACCAGGTGACCGTAAATTTTTTCTTATTTTATCAGAGGAAACGACATCATTACTTTTACACGTAGAACAATTGAATAGTAGTTAAAAATTTAAATTAAAAATCTAATGAAGACCAGCAACGTATGTATGGGGGGGGGGAGCTATTAGGACTCAGCCCCCTTTGACAAATCCCTGTTTACGCCTATGATAGTCTGATAGAGGTAAACATTCAGACGCCAATAGAGTGAGAAAGTTGGTTCATGGCACTCATCAGATGCTATATCGTTTGCACTAATGTCCGATTGAACTAACATACTTTTGCACTAAAGTCAGCTGATCAGTAACACTTGTGGCCGCAGCGCCCGGCCCCCTAGCCTGTCCTAGCCGCGGCGCTCGGCCTCTCAGCCTGTCCTAGCCGCAGCACTCGGCCCAGAAATTGTCTTAACCTAACCTAACCCTCAAATAAAACGTTAGTCCGAATGAACGTTAGTGCGAATGAACGTTAGTCCGATCAATCATTAGTGCAAACGATACGACACCACTAATCAGGCGCCATTATCCAGAGGGAGAGGGTTAAGGTTCCTTTTCAAACTTGTAACAAGATCTAAACTTTGTTTGTAAACAAACCAGGTACTAAACAAACAGTGGATATACACTATGGTCTTGCTTCTTTAGTTTAGATAGTTGGTCTCCAGGGAAATCTGAAGATTTCGTAAAACATACCTTTCCGAACTGATTCTTAAATTTCCCTCCGCATGTTGTTCGGGGTCCCAGTGGAAGTATATTCTATGTAATATCTACTAAATCATGAGAAAACTACATTTATTTAAGATTTATTGCATATTATGTTCCTGCACTCACACACTTTTATTCAGAGAACAGGGTTTCCAGACTGCAGAACAATTGTTTAAATTGTTTTTTTTGTCGTCTTTGTTAAGATAAACATTTTAATTTTCCAACGTGGCATTCATAAGCGCGTTTTAGAAGTTAGAGCATAAAAACGATAATCAGGAAATACTGTGCAGCAATAAATTTGCAAAGTTCTTGTGTGAAAACTTAAAGCAATTAACGAGTTTACGAAACCATTATTTCTCTTAATTTGCTATTTTATGTGTTATCAGCCTCCCCTTGGCCCCACATCCTTCCGCCCACAGTATGAAATTAAATTATTCCTTAGTTTAGGTTGAAACCTTACAACGTTTTGAGTTACAAGTTGTTTTCTAGTGCGCTTTATTTGGGGAAAAAATGTAAAAAAGATGTAAACTCTTCCCTAGCTGGAGCTAGTTTTACTCATGAAATGAACCATGCAAGAGAAGTCTTGGGTGATTTATTTCAAAGTTTTGAACCTTCTTTGAACTAAAGTTTTTTTAGGGGCCGGTAGGAACAATAACTCAATTTAGGGGCCGGTAGGAACAATAACTCAATTTAGGGGCCGGTAGGAACAATAACTCAATTTTGTGAATTTTAAGTAGAATATATTTTCACTAGAAAACAATAAAAATATCGAATGATGAATAAAAAAATTGAAGAAATAATGTTACCCCAGAGTTTCATTATAAGACTAAACCTAGCTCTACGGAAATTTTTAAATCTTTTTTATTTTAACAATTTAACCAACATTTTCTCCGGATTCAGAGATTAGTAGAAGAAGGGTAGATGGCCAGGACTGGGAGGGGGTTTGGGTGGGATCAAAAATGTAGAAATTCAGCAAAAAGTGCATTTCAAACTTTATATAAAATAAAAACTGAGTATCCACGCCATTAGATATATTGAAAAATATCATATTTTCAAAGTAAATATTTGTATCTAACATAAAATATAACTCTGTTAGGAGAAAAGAAAAAGATAAAATAAGAGAATAAAAGAAACTGTAAAGTTTTAGGATGTCCACAAACTAAACCTCGAGTGAACAATACAAACATATTTGCAACAACAAGGGGAGACATCTTCTTTTACGATCAATTATAATAAACAACCAAAAGTTTCTCTTCTACAGATAAAGTTAGGAAAAGAACGTTAACACAAAAATGTACTCGAAGTTTGGAATTTAACTTAATTTTTCTGTTAATTGGAATAAAAACAAACAAGTTTTTAGTTCCTAATATGAACATTTCTGTGTATGCTTCATTTAATTATTGCATATCTTGAAGAAAACTGAAAAATAAGTAAATATGATCCTTTAAAGGGACTGTATACGTAATTTCTAAGTGACCCTCCTTTCAAAGATGAAAATGCCAAAATCACAACGGCGGCGTAATGCCCTAAAAAGCTTTGTCTGATCAAGTATGAATTAGATATCTATGTTTATAATTTGGAAAACTGATTATTTTCAACTGTTCAATTAAATACTTTTAAACCTAGAAAAACGACAATATCTTTCACATTGTTGTTCATATTAAAGTTTCAAGGGAGGGTTACTTGAAATTACGTTGACAGTGCTATTTAAGTTACCTTCAACGAACATCCAGAAGAAGGTTGCAAGGTGGAAGTATCTGAGAAAAACCAAGGATACACACCAAGATAACTCCACCTTAGAAAAATATTCAGTCGTTAAAACAAGCTTGAGATCATGATTTTTAATTGATCAGGCGGAGTTGAACTATGTAGACATAGTTGAACCATTTCTATTCAACTCGAAGTGGCACAAGCAGAATGGTTCAACTATGCCTGCTAAGCATGGATGTGGAAAAATGTTTGGGTTTCCGAACTTAAGGGGACTAATCACCTATCTACACCTAAAACTCTAATTTTTGGGATTAGAAAATTAACACAATTTAGAGCTTTAATATCTTCTCGGAAACATGTGATATGATAGTTTTAATAGTGTTCCTAATTCTGTTATATATATTTTAGTTTTAATAGTGTTCCTAATTCTGTTATATATATTTTAGTTTTAATAGTGTTCCTAATTCTGGTATATATATTTTCAGATAGGTGAACACTCCCTTTAGATAAAGTTACTAACAAGATGTAATGATGGTAAGCTGTAGAAGAATAAATTTAGGCCTCCTTCTCAATCCTGAAATTCCAGTACTAAGTATTCCAAGAGAAGAAGTGCTAAGATACTCAGGAAATACTGATTACAACTTTTCTAAACAAAAAGGGAGAAAAGACAGAATCAGGATTAGGTTGGATTACAAGGATGATTAGGTTGTATTAGAAGGATGAATAGAGAACCAGGTTGGATTAGAAGGATGATTAGGTTGTATTAGAAGGATGAATAAAGAACCAGGTTGGATTAGAAGGATGAGAAGAGGATCAGGTTAGATTAGAAGGATAAGAGGAGGATCAGGTTGGATTAGAAGGATATATAGAGGATCAGGTTAGATTAGAAGGATGAATAGAGAACCAGGTTGGATTAGAAGGATAAGAGGAGGACCAGGTTAGATTAGAAGGATATATAGAGGATCAGGTTAGTATAGAAGGATGAATAGAGGATCAGGTTGGATTAGAAGGATGATAAGAGGATCAAGTTGGATTAAAAGGATATATAGAGGATCAGGTTGGATTAGAATGATGAGAAGAGGATCAGGTTGAATTAGAAGGATGACAAGAGAATCAGGTTGGATTAGAAGGATATATACAGGATCAGGTTGGATTAGAAGGATGAGAAGAGGATCAGGTTGGATTAGAAGGATGAAAAGAGGATCAGGTTGGATTGGAAGGATGAAAAGAGGATCAGGTTGGATTGGAAGGATAAATAGAGAACCAGGTTGGATTAGAGGGATGAAAAGATGATCAGGTTGGATTAGAAAGATGAATAGAGAACCAGGTTGGATTAGAAGTATGAATAGAGAACCAGGTTGGATTGGACGAATGAGAAGAGGATCAGGTTGGATTAGAAGGATGAATAGAGGATCAGGTTGGATTAGAAGGAGGAGGAAATTATAAGGTTGTATTGGAAGGATTAATAGAGGAGCAGGTTGGATTAGAAGGATGTATAGAGGATCAGTTTGGATTAGAAGGATGAATAGTGGATTAGGTTGGATTGGAAGGATGAGAACAGGATTATGTTGGATTAGAGGGATGAGAAGAGGATCATGTTGGATTAGAAGGATAAATTATTAATAGCAATAAATAATTTTTGTTAAAATTTTTATATAAAATCTCCTCAACTATTAAAGTTAAAATGATTAGTCCTTTCACACAAGGGAAGTATAAAGGTGATGGTGGAATCCCCCCCCCCCCAACATTCGTCAGACAAAAGTTGAATTTAAAAAAATTCTTGTAGACCGTTAGTGATAAATATGGTCTGAGCGGGGCACTCAACTTAAAACAACATTTTTCAGAAAGGACTTCATTAACAATCCTTTATTTATTTCCCGAATGAGTTTAAAATTCTAAAACTATTCCAATTAAACAGGTTTTTAGGGCCCTTGGCGCCTCTTTTCTGATACAAATTGTAGCTTTGAATTTTTGCTTTACAAGCCAATTGTTATAATCCAGAATTTTGACAATTTTTCACAAAATAAAAAAAAAACGGTTAAAAAATGTTCGTTATTTAAGTTCAAGTCTTATTTCGTGCTTCGCGAAATGCATGAATTCACCTCTTGGACCAAACCACTGGTTTCTAGGAATATTTAAGCCTTGTGCAGGCAACCATGTAATATCCAATAAAGGGAATGTTTACTTCTAAATTGGACCGAACTTTTAGATTTAAGGTTCGGTTTCTAGCTGTACCATAAATTATGTGTTTCCAATATTAAAAAAGAAACCTAAAACAAATTAATTTTAAAATCAAGAATTGAACAAAATACTGAAAACAGTTTCTACCTTAAAGAATGTTATTTATAAAAGTAGATATTTAATGCAGTGTTTAAGATTTTGTTTTTATTACTCTTGACGGAGCTTCAAAGAGTTGAACTTATTTTCTACTTCATCATTGGTTAAACCTTTGGATATCTTGACCAATGAGATGATGAGTTTAACCCAGTTAAACCGATTTTCTTTCAAAAGTTATCATCTCTGTTTTATTTGGTCACAACTTGAACCCAACCTTTTAAATTCTAAAGGCTTCAGTGCATATTCAATTTATATTTATTTAAATTTTGAAATATCTGAAGAATACAAAATTTCAAGATATAAAGTTAAAAGGAATAGGGAACTTGTATCACACAAATTCGCTTGATGTCACCAACTTTAAAACCTTTCAGTCGTCTTTGTTATTTGATCTCATGAAATCAAAATAAATTACGTATGCAAACGGTGTAGCACCTTTCTAGTATTTTTGAGTAATACTTGGGTCCATATAAAGATCAGTTTCTATAAATAACATAATATCTCAAAAATATTAAATGTATCATATTTCAAATAGAAATTTCCAAAACTATCCACAATTTAATACAACGAAGAAAAAAAATGTATAAATAAAAAATTCGTGGAACATTCTAGACTTTGCGAAACTTCTTCCAAGAAAGAGGTTATTTAAACTTTTTTTAATTGAATACAATTAAACTGCTGTTAGGGAAATAAATAATTGGAAATTTTGTAACTAAATAATTTAAAATAAAACAAGTTTGGAACTGAAGAACTGAAACTCGAGTTTTGAACTAAATAAAAGAAGATGTATTTTGTTTTGTTTTTTAGAATATTTTCTGTTCTCCTACACTATATAAAAGTTTGTTTTTCTTTGTAAAATATGTTTTTAAATGTTTATTCTGCGGGAAAAGATATGGAAAAAATAAAACCAAAAAATGTTTATATGTGAATTTTTGAAAACAAATTATTTTCAAGATTATTAATTTTATGACACAAGACAATTGAAAAATTAAATAAATCAGAAGTACAAATTGCTGAGATTATCCTGCAATAATGTTGGAATAATAATTCATTACAACATGCAGAATACTTTTCATAGCAAGAAACAGGAACACAAGTTTAAATTATTAATTCTAAGAATTTCAATTTCTTTTTAATCTTTAATCTAAAGGGTGAACCTAAAAAAACCACACAAAACGGATTTTTTGGATTATTACTAAGAAAATCCATATAATAATGAATGAAAATCCGCAAAACTATTATTTTGGGACCAGTTGATAGTGGATCTACCAAGAAAAAATGGATAAAAAGCTTAAATGCATCTTGAAATCACAGATAGAGACCTATCTCCAGAAAAAGCCACATGCCAGTGATGGTAAAATAATAAAGTGGCTGAATATTGGTGCAGTCCCCGGTCCTGCCACTCTCAATGCAATCAAAAAAGAAAGCCTGAGAGTCTTTGTTGTCTTTGTTGAGAAGAAGTTTGCAATGCATGGGTTCTCTGCTGATCACCTAAAGCGGAACGGACGACCCTTTCTTCCAGGAAGAAAGATTGCCCAGGTGAAGAGACTAATGAACAAATATAAAATATATCCAATAAAACTGTTTGAATCATAATGCATTAAACAATTAGAGAAGAATTTGTATTATGTGTGGTTTTTTTAGGTTCACCCTTTCTATATATAAATTTGGCTTGTCTGTCTGTCTGTCTGTTTGTATCCAATAAACGTCAAAACGGCTGAACCGATCGGGCGCAAATTTTTTGTGGGACATCTAGGGACCCCAGGGAAGGTTTATGAAAAATCAAAATTTCAAATATTTGTCTCCATCAAAATTCGATCGTCATTAAATTTTTAAAAATTTTGAAAATCCGCGAAATTTTTTGTGAAAATCCGCGAATTATTTTTGTTTTGTTTTACGATGTACACAAAGAGAACATGTTCACAATTAATTTAGAAGATGGGCGCGAAGTGCCCTCTAAGGCTAGTAAAAGTATATTTTTTTTAATTCCGATGTTTTCTCTTTAGAAATATATCTACGGTGGGAACTCTTGTATAGTGAATGCCGAGATCAATCATGGATCTTAATCTGTTGTTAATCTACAGATCAATTTATTCTTTTTTAAAGATATTCCGTGACAAGGGTCGTCTGTGGAGAACTAACAGGCAATCAAAATCTCGGAAATTTTACGTTCGACCAATAAGCGACGGAGAGATTTTGGATATCCAAAATCAACAGATCAAGCAGATTCTGCGTAAAATTCAAAAGTGCCCACAGTTGATATCGAGATCAAGTGATCTCGGGATTTCTGGCATCCAACATGAAAGTTCCCAGCTCTGATCACATTTAAAGTTAAAAAATTGACCTTGAAAACTGCTACGTTTAAAGTTAAAACTTGACCTTGAAAACTGCTAAGTTTAAAGTTAAAACTTGACCTTGAAAACTGCTAAGTTTAAAGTTGAAAACTTGACCTTGAAAACTGCTAAGTTTAAAGTTAAAACTTGAGCTGGAAACTGCACATTTAAAATTAAAATCTTGACCTTGAAAACTGCTACGTTTAAAGTTAAACTTGACCTTGAAAACTGCTATGTTTAAAGTTGAAAACTTGCCCTTGAAAACTGCTATGTTTAAAGTTGAAAACTTGACCTTGAAAACTGCTACGTTTAAAAATTTTGAATTTAACAAATTCGTTATTTCGGTCGCATGTATTCTGAACAGTATGTTAAACTTCTAGTTTAACAGTAAAAGGTTGTGGTTAACAGTGTGATTATGTAAATTGAATTTAAAGGGATCATTTTGTTGAATATAAGCTTGGAATTTGCGCATTCTTAATCTCTATAGAAAAAGAGTTGACTTCTAATTTTTGTAGTCAGACGGATTTATCTAATTCCTTTTCATGGATTTAATGGTCCGACCAATCAGAAGCCACACACATCTGCTTTCGGCCAATAAGAGTTTGCAAGTCAGCTATTTTTTTTCTCATAGATTCCTTACTTCAAGGTACTAATGCAAGGAAAGTAAATTGCAGTTGCGTATACTCTGAAACCAGTTTTCTCTGGGCGGAATTTGTAAACAAGATTAGAGGCATCAGTGTTCGTTTAGTATCCGAGGAGGTTAAAAGCATTAGATTTTGATAAATTTGATAATTCACATAATAGTTTCCTAAAACCAGAATATTTCATTGATATTTTATGTGAAAAATGGATCCCATGTCAGGCTTCGACATCCGTCTTGTGTTTACATTACCGCCCAGAGACAGTACACTGCAGTACAAAAGATGCGCACACCTCTGAAATAACTTTCCTTGCGTTATAACCTTGCCATACTTAATCACTTAAAATAATAAGTTTCCTCTTTAGATATTGAGTTCAGACGTCGTCTGGAATCAGCTCCACTAACTTAATAAAAAATTAAATTCAACCAAACAAATTTTCTTTTCTCACAGAGTCGCAAAGTCGCATTAGTCATTCCGCATGAATTTGACCTTTTTCACATAGCTCCAAACTGATGTATAAAGTTGCATTTCAAGATTTGGTCAACTTTTAGGGTCTTAGCGCCGTAGACTTTGATTTTTTCTCATTAACGCAAATTTGAGTATTATAGAGTAAAGAGGACTTGTTTTTAGCTTTTGTTTTTAAGAAGTAATTGGAAAAAGTTTCAATGCTTGTTTTTTGCAAGCTTTGGGTAACTGTGTTTTATTTTTACTGAAGTCTCTGCAGAAAGGTTAAATTTCTTTGTAATTATCAATTTTTACCCAAAAAGAATAAAAATTTGAAAATATTTACAAAATGTAGGAAATGTGCTTGAAGGAATTTACTTCACTCATTGTTTCAATGCATTTAAAATTCTATCAGTAAAATGTTCATATTTCAGTAAAATGTTCATATTTCAGTAAAATGTTACATATTTCAGTAAAATGTTACATATTTCAATAAAATGTTCATATATCAAGAAAATGTTACATATTTCATTTCATATTGTATGAGATAAAGCCATTGCTAAAGAAGAAAGGGGGGGGGAGATTTGTTTAAATGTAAACATTTATTTCCCTTCTGCAATATTTGAGTTTAAGATATACTTAAAACATATTTTTAGCTGAAACATAAACAAAGGAATTGAGTTTTTGCCACAAGCTCATAATTTCTAATCCCCTATATCTCTGCAACCTTTGATATTTCTAATCCCCTATATCTCTGCAACCTTTGATATTTCAAACGTAGACCATATGAACCAACAGAATTAACAGTTTGAAATATTAGAGGTCTACATGGAAAGATATATATATATAGGGATCAGAAATCAGAGTTTGTGGCAGAAACTTAATATTCCTTTTCATTTCAAGGATTAAGTTAGAATATTTCTACACCTGACCCAAACCCTGATTAAGATGGATTTACAATTTTTCTTTTTAGGATTTAGATATTTCTGTGCAGTGCAATTATCTTAATCCTTTTCAATGAAAATTACTATTTACAACACTAATTTCTTCGTTCAGAAACCTTCCAGATACAAATTATTTTCTTTTTTAACCTTTTTGTGTATCATATGAAACTTGGATGTTTATGAATTATAAAATGTCTTGGTTGACTACGGTGAGTAATGATGGAGGGGGTAACACAATCCTAACATTTTTCGAATCTCGAAACTTTTTCCTTTTAAGACTGAAAAATGATCTTAGTATGCCAAGTTAGTTTTATCTCAGATTCAGAATAGAACCATAAAAGATGAGCTTTTGCAACAATCTCTGATTTTCTAATTCCTAAATCTTGGCAACCTATGGCCGAATTTAAAGAATTTGAGCGGCGGTTTAAATATGATTGATTCCACTTAAAATTGTATCAAATGTTTCAAGATTTAAGCCGGCGCTTAATTTAAACCGGGGTTTAGCGGATTTAAACCGCGGCTCAAATTCTTTAAATTCCATCTCTGATGTCGTAGACTTTTGATTATTCAAACTATGAATTTTGTTAGATGATCTTGAAACTTCAAAGGTTTACACCATAGGTTGCAAAGAAGTTGGGATTAGATGATTAAAATTTGTGGCAAAAACTCATCGAATTTAACTTTTAACATCAACTTAAAATCTCTCATCACTGCAAAAAAAACTGTTTTCAATTTTAATTTCTTCTCATCTTAGCATGTTAAAATCTTTTTAAATGAAAATTCTTTTTTTTTTTGAAAAGTTGAGATGTTTTTAAAATACAAAAAGGAATCGAACTCTGATTGTCTAATCCTTATATCCTTGCAACCCAATGTCGGAGACCTTAGATAGTTCAAACTATGAATTCTGTTAGAACAAATAATCTAATATGAAACATTGAAGGTTAACACGATCAGTTTGCAAAGATTTAGGAATTTTGTTTTATTATAATTCATTATTTATAATGTATATTGTATATACTTTGCTTGTCTGTCTGTCCGTTTGCGAAGCGCCCTGAAAGCCTAGTATATTAAATGTCTGATATCCTAAGACGCTAATAAAAAAGAATATTAAAAAATAAAAATATTGTTAGAAATAGATTGGAAAACTGATTGGTTAATATCTTCAGGTCTGAGCTGAACCAAGTGGCTTAGAGTCCGAATATATAGTATTAGAAACTAGCTGAAGAGCCCGGGGCTGTCCGTGGAAAAAAAAATTTTGAAAAAAATGTCAAATTTTTAGCCTATGTCACCCCTAGGCTACCCATCAGTACGTTCACAAAAAATGTCAGTCCATTCGGTCCAACCGTTTGACCGGCCAGAAGGAACATATATATGAGTGTCTTGTCTTATTATATAGATTATACAATTATATATAATCCTTACTTAATATGAAGAGAAACATTGAAGGAAAAGGATTTACTTTACAGAAGAATATTATCTACATAACTTGTTATTTACTATATGTAGAGTGTAGACTGATGAAAAACTTATAAACAAATTGCATTCTTACACTGAAATCAACATCATAATAACATGAAACTGATTAAACTCTTATAGAAATTCTATTTTAAACCAAGAAAGATTTACCAAGATACGTTAACAAAATTACTGCTTATCATGCCAAGTTTTGTTTAAATTCCACCTAGACACTGAAGTACACTTAATATGTAAACATGGGGTTCCTGGTGTATCTTCCTTGTTTTGAAAAGAAAATGATTTAAAAATGCTTAACTTACGCCATGGAAGTGTAAAATGCGTAACTTAGATCAAGGACGTTTAAGATGCGTAACTTACACAATGGAAGTAAAAAAAATGCGTAACTTACATCATGGAAGTGTGCGTCCTGCATCACAGCAGTTAATATCATGCGTGAATTACATTATGAAAGTTTAAAAAAATGCGTAACTTACATCATAAAGGGTAAAATGCGTATAACTTACATCATGGAAGCGTAGAATGCGTAACTTACATCATAAAAGTGTAAAATGCGTAACTTACATCATGGAAGTGTGCGTCCTGCTTCCCAGCAGTTAATATAATGCGTAAATTACATCATAAAAGTTGAAAATGCGTATAACTTACATCACGAAAGTTTAAAATGCGTAACTTACATCATGGAAGTGTGCGTCCTGCATCACAGCAGTTAATATCCAGCAGCTGTTTGCGAGTATATATGTTAGGAACAGGTTGGCGTGGATCTTGTTTCGTAAACATCTCATCTCCCTGTACACAAACATTGTAAACAAACATTGTACACAAACATTTTAAACAAACGTTGTAAACAAACGTTGTAAACAAACATTGCAAACAAACATTGCACACAAACATTGTAAACAAACATTGTACACAAACATTGTAAACAAACATTGTAAACAAACATTGTAAACAAACATTGTAAACAAACATTGTACACAAACATTGTACTCAAACATTGTAAACAAACATTGTTAACAAACATTGTAAACAAATATTGTAAACAAACATCGAACGTCCCTGTACACAAACATTGTAAACAAACATTGTAAGCAAACATTGTAAACTAAAATTGCAAGCAAAAATTGTAAACAAACATTGTAAGCAAACATTGTAAACTAAAATTGCAAGCACAAATTGTGCACAAACAAAGATAATAATACGCACAATATGATGATGAACTCTATATATCTGCCATTTGTTTATTTTTCATCCAGAAAATATTGTTCACTCTTAGCTAGATATCTAAATACTTTTAGAGGTTTTATATATTTGGATCCCTGTCAGAAAGCTAGAAAGATCGATATATAGTGAATCAAGATAATCTAAAATATTCATGTTCGGAAGTGCATTAACAGTTAGAGCATCGTATCTATCTATATTCCACCCCCGCTTCTTCTTCTATTCTACATCCTTTTCTCAGTTTTTCATGGAAACTTTCAAATAATTCCAGTCTCGAGTACCTTCATATTTAATTCAACCTTATCAACTTGAAGGGGGGGGGGGTTATGGGGGCTTAGCCCCTAGAGAAGTAAAAATCAAGATTTTCAAGAGTAATGCAGCCCTCATAGTCAGCAGAGCCCTCCCCTGGAATGTCAAAAAAGAAAAATTCCAGTTTACGCCCCTGAAAAATTCCAGTTTACGCCCCTGAAAAATTCTAGTTTACGCCACTGAAAAATTCCAGTTTACACTTCTGAAAAATTAAAGTTTACGCCCCTGAAAAATTCGTACATTGTACATTGTATACAGACTAGAGACGGCAAAACGGAACAGTACAAAAAATGAATCATCCCCATAGAATAATAACAACACATATAAAAATATTAAGATTTAGGGGTTTTCCGTTCACAATAACCCTAAGACAGAAGCCCAAAGGAGTTCCTAGCAGGCAGCGCATGCTCTCTCTCTGTCTTGTTATTCAACGCTGCCTGCGCGGAACTCCATTGTGTTTCTGCCTCGGGGTTATTGTAAACGAAAAACCCCAAAATCTTGAAAAGACAGCATCTAGTGTAATATCTGTTATTGTTAATTAATCTAAGATCATCCCCTTCTAGGGAGTTAAATGTGGCAGTAACTGTTGTTTTCTTTAACCAATCAGAAGTAAAGTAATGTGTTCGATAGGTTGTTAAAAGGGCACAGAGCGTCAGGCAGTTGTGACAATTGTGCATTATTTTCACACCCGGGTCGATTTTGAAGTGTCGTAACGCCTTTGCTTTTGGTTTTACTTTACTAATACATTTTTGACATGTACTTTGTTTGTAAACGAAAAACCCCAAAATCTTGAAAAGACAGCATCTAGTGTAATATCTGTTATTGTTAATTAATCTAAGATCATCCCCTTCTAGGGAGTTTAAATGTGGCAGAAACTGTTGTGTTCGATAGGTTTAGGTTAAAAGGGCACAGAGCGTCAGGCAATTGTGACAATTGTGCATTATTTTCACACCTGGGTCGATTTTGAAGTGTCGTAACGCCTTTGCTTTTGGTTTTACTTTACTAATACATTTTTGACATGTACTTTGTACATCGTCGAACTAAAACAACATTTTTTCTAGTTTCTGTTTAAAGTAGATTTTGAGAACGTCCATATTTTTGATCACTGGAGAACCAAACAATTTAGATTGTTTTTTAAATTGTATCTCATGGCAAACTGGTCGAGGGTTGTTTAAATACATATAAAGTTTCGATATGATACTTTACTGAAGACCCCTGACACCGTGTTACATGCATTTTCCAACATAAAAACATAATTTTATGAATTTATAAAGTTGGAAAGAAAAAGGTCTAACTCAGCCATCTTAATTTAGAATTTTTAAACCTTAAACTAAGAAAGTTCCCGAGATTTTATCCGAGTTTCCGAGGAATTGAGTTTTTGCCACAAACTCTGATTTTCTAACCCCTATATCTTTGCGACCCGATGTCGTAGATCTNGTTTACACCATCGGGTTGCAAAGATATAGGGATTAGAAAATTTGAATTTGTGGCTAAAACTCAATTCCTTTGCGGCAAATCAGTGAAAGTGTTGTTGAATTTTGATTACTTTATATTTGCAATATGTAGATTTATATTGTAGATTCCTGCACTCTGCTTTTCAACATCATTTCACTGTTTAACGCAACAACCAATTGCTTCAATGAAAAAAGTTGTTCTGAGCCTTATGTACTTACATAATGAATAATACTGTTTAAAATATTTGATATTTCTCAATATCTTAATTGAAAGTAAATAAAGGAAGAAGAATAATAGAGAAGGTGATTAAAGGATGTTTCTTAAACTTGGCATTCTTTAGCTAGAAATATTCATTCAAATAAATATTCTAATCTTTTTTGGTGAAATCCTGTTTTAAAGTGCCACAACATGCAGATAAAGGAAGTCAAATTTCAAAAAGTTGTCAAAAAACTACTTTTTTTTGAGTCTGGGGAGTAAAGGTTATTCTGGTTACAAACAATTTGAAATTAATAATCGATGAAGTTAAAAAATGTGAGTTATTTTTTTATTAGCTTACACATTAGTAAAATAAATTTGTTTATTTGATGAAATAATACAAAATAGCAAAGTTGTAACAATAATCTGTTTATTTATTCCAAGAATGCTTTGTTTATATGGTGAAGTGTATTTATTTAGGTCAGTTCTCTGTTAAACTCCCCTTGTATATATATGTATATATATATATATCAACATAAAGAATCTAAAAGTCAAATAAAAAGTTGAAAAGAAACCTTCAGTTTATGTTTATATTTGTGATTATACTTTGCAGCTTGTTTCCTTTCAAATTTTTTAACAAACCAATCTTAAAGGAAAGATGTAAAAATTTTATTTTATTTTTTAAATCTACTTTAGACGAAATAGCACGTTTCCAGTCGATATCTCGTTTCACGGACTTTCGTGGACTTGTGCAAGTGCAATTGCATTGCGCGGAAATGCTATATAGTGGGAAGTTTTCATATCTTCGAGGATTTGCTTGAAGGATTTGCTTGAAGGATTTGCTTGAAGGATTTGCTTGAAGGATTTGCTTGAAGGATTTGCTTGAAGGATTTGCTTGAAGGATTTGCTTGAAGGATTTGCTTGAAGGATTTGCTTGAAGGATTTGCTTGAAGGATTTGCTTGAAGGATTTGCTTGAAGGATTTGCTTGAAGGATTTGCTTGAAGGATTTGCTTGAAGGATTTGCTNAGGGAACTAAAAGCAATTTTGCCAAAACAATTCTTTGAAATTAAAGAACACTGTTTACTCGCTAAAAATATTACTTAATTTAACAAAACGAAATATTTCACTTGAATTAGACATAAAGATTTAAAGGTTTACTTACTTAATTGAGATGATAAGATTTTCTTACTTAATTGAGAGGATAAAATTTACTTACTTAGTTAAGAGGATAAAGTTGACTTATTTAATTGAGAGAATAAGATTTACTTACTTAATTAAGATGATAAAGTTTACTTACTTAATTGAGAGGATAAGATTTTCTTACTTAATTGAGAGGATAAGATTTACTTATCTAATTGAGAGGATAAGATTTTCTTACTTAATTGAGAGGATAAAGTTTACTTACTTAATTGACAGAATAAGATTTACTTACTTAATTGAGAGGATAAGGTTTACTTATTTAATTGAGAGAATAAAGTTTACTTACTTAAATTAAGGATAAGATTTACTTACTTAAGTTAGAGAATATGATTAATCAACTTAAAACAGACAGAAGATAAGATTTACTTACTTTGATTAAAGCCAAGTTTCAATGCTTCAGAATAAATCAGAGGATAGGGTTAATTTATCAGTGGTTTAGGATTACTTACTTGAAATATATGCAGATAGAGAATGCTATGAGAAGAGCTACGAGACTCAGAGAATGTCCACAGAAATATATAATAGAGATTGCATTCGAACTTATCGGGGGCTCTCCACTTGACCTAAATATAACGAGAGTTATTTTTTTTAAATTAGGTACATTCAAGTTTTTATTTGTTTTCTTAATCAATAAAGTTTTTAAAATTAAGATCGTTTTCTTATCAAGAGCTAGGACATTAATTTTTGATTTATCTAAATAAACATATATAAAGGCCTTTGTACTGGGAAGGGGGGGGGGGTTGAGGTCCCTTCAAAACTTTCGGAGTTTTTGTTGGAAACTCTTTCAAAGCAATTTAGAAAATAAAATGTTATGTGAAACATAAAAATTCTCTTCTTTATAAAGATTGATTGGTATGTTTACGATTGTGTAATCAAGGGAACTAATTCTAGTTCTAGTTTATTGTAATCAAGGGAACTTATAATAGTTCTAATTCATAGTAATCAAGGGAAATAATTCTAATTCTGGTTCTTGGAAATCAAGGGAACTAATTCTAGTTCAAGCTTATTGTAATCAAGGGAACTAGTTCTAGTTCTAGTTTATTGTAATCAAGGGAACTAATTCTAGTTCTAGTTTATTGTAATCAAGGGAACTAATTCTAGTTCTAGTTTATTTTAATCAAGGGAACTAATTCTAGTTCTAGTACAGTGTAATCAAGGGAAATAGTTCTAGTTCTAGTTTATTGTAATCAAGGAAACTAGTTCTAGTTCTAGTTATTGTAATCAAGGAAACTAGTTCTAGTTCTAGTTTATTGTAATCAAGGGAACGAATTCTAGTTCTAGTTTATTGTAATCAAGGGAACTAATTATAGTTCTCGTTCCGAGTAATCAAGGGAACTAATTCTAGTTCTGGTTCTTGGAAATCAAGGGAACTAATTCTAGTTCTAGTTTAAAGTAATCAAAGGAACTAATTCTAGTTCTAGTTTATTGTAATCACTGGAACTAATTCTAGTTCTAGTTTATAGTAATCAAGGGAACTAATTCTAGTTCTAGTTTAAAGTAATCAAGTTTTGCACAGCTTAAGTTGTGTATATGGTTTATAGCTTGAAGGGGGGGGGGATTATTAATTTATATAATTTCACAAAATTTGTCACGCAATGCCGTATTTACTCTAAACATACTTGGTTAAAAATAGAAAACTTCTCTGTAGTTTTATAAATACAAATCTTGTTTTTATATTTTACTTTTTGGATTTTAGAAAATCTGTTTTATTAATTGAATGCAATCGTATTTTTTTTGAATTCAAAAATATTTTAAAGCTTTAAACATTCATTATTCATTTTTAAACTAATTGGATTAAAGTAACTAGAAATGTTCGCCTCTATCTGGTCAAATTGAATAATTCTCAAGAAAATACTAAAATTATGAATAAAATATTGGCTTGTTGTTGTATTTCAATGTTAAATAAATTTAAGGTTATATTTATATAGATTAAGGTGTTCCCGGTAGTTTGATTAAAACCAACTTTATCAATTTTAACTTTTAAGTTTCTAAACCCTTGGCAGTATATGTATAATGTAAGATTAATTTAATTCTAAACATTATTCAGTTGATACAGGGAGTTTCAAAAAACATAGGGATTAATTTAATCGTTCTAAATAAAACCGGTGTAACAACAGTAACAATTTTAAGTTTCAAAAATCTAATTTTTTTTTAATTAGTTAGAACAAAGCCATATTATATTTTCCATGGATATTTGTGTGAAAAAATATGTAAATTGATTTCTATGATCATGTAGCGTTTTAACTTTTTTACACAAAAAAAAGTTTTTACTCTGAAATTTGGTTGTCTAAAAACTAGAAACCCCTGCCAGCCCTTCCAAAACGGGGATTTCTGCTTAAAGAGGTTTAATTGTTTTGTTTCATTTCTTTAATCTTTTCTGGTAACAAGGGCATAGTTCAGAAACACGATCTAACCTTATACCAGAGTTTGGAAATCCCTAACCTTTATTTAAAGCAATCGGTGATACTTCAGAGCCCGAAATTTAAAAGAGTATCGTTGAACGAAACTCCCGAGTTTCCTTTTTGGGGTCTTGGCAATTGTGTAAATTTTGATTTAAGAAATTTAAAAAAATGAAGAATATGAAGAAACTTAATAAAATAATATTTCACAACAAAAATATTGATATCCACAAAACTGCCTAACCCCATTCTTGAAACCCGGGTTTCAAAACTGGTTTTCATAACGATACCCTGTCTTAAGTTTTGGGCTCAGAGCAAGGAGAATTGAATACAAGGAGGGGGCAATAGTGTTTGCGTACACTTTGCTGTGACGTTTTTGGACTGCTGGAGAACTAGTTTTTGCGTAACAACAATAATAAAGGCAGCCGATCTAATGTAAACAAACATGAGTTAGTAAACGGTGAATCTTCATCTAACGCCAGAGATGCACCAAATGTCTGTTTATCATTTGTGTTATTGTTTACAATCTTTATTATTGTTGTTACGAAAAAACTAGTTCTCCAGCAGCCCAAATACGTCACAGCAAAGTGTACGGAAACCCTATTGCCCCCTCCTTGTATTCAATTCTCCTTGCTTCAGAGTAAATTAAAACCAGGCAAGGGTTCCGTGTAAGTAAAGTTGTATTAACGACCAATTTTGTTCTTAAATTTTTAAGAACGATCTTTCGACATAATCGTTAGTACAGCAAAATCGTCCGTCCACCAGAATCAGTTCTTTAAAATAATCGTCAGTTTTATCAAATTAGGTTTAAAATTACTAACGGAAAATCTTTTGTTTCAAGTTATGTTTTGTTCTATTTTTTACCATACCAATGACGTAGATTTAAATGTGTCCAGGAGCCAGATTTTATGAATAGCTAATTATAGTTGAACAGCGTAGAAGTAGTTGAACCACTACTCTTGGTTCAATTTAGTATATATGTAAGAAAAAAATGGAATAGGAAGACGACATCATAGGTGTATTTGATGTTTCTACAAAGCAAATAGTTTCACAAGAGTGTAGACACTTATGAAATCACAAATATAATGAAATGGGTCTGTTTAAACTACACAAATGCTGTGTCTCATGCTCCTTGGGCTTTTTAAAGTTCTAAAGGTCACTTTTTTCAGGGTTTTTTGGTTCTCGCTGAATTCAGCTACGTCTCATTTTTAATTTTATTTGGTCCCAGTTATATGTAATAATAGAAAAATAAATATTTTTTTAGGATCTAGATATTTATTATCTCCGTATCGAGATTATATAAATTGTACAAAATTGTTCACATGGATTAAATAAAAATATTTTACATCAATATCGTTTACATACATTTTGAGAAAATTATGAAGGAATTTACGGATACATTTTTAAGGAAAAATTGGTATTGAGGCTACATAGACTGTGAAAAAGCATACACATTGAGAATTATACCAAAGAGGAACATTGATGGTTCTTCGTTGATATCGAGGCTACATATTATTTTAACTAGGTAGTCTTGAAGCTACATAAACAAGGTAAAGGAAGGAACGTTGTAATTAGAAAGGAACGTTGTAATTAAAAGGAACGTTGTAATTAAAAAATAAATAATAATATAGCTCGTCAATCTTTGAGACATAAAGAAGTAGATACGTTAATATTTACATGAGGGATCGAATTTAATTAATGGGAGAGATGTCACTGAACTACCTACTGCCGGTTCAACTATATATGCAGTGCTCACTGGCTTAAACTTGAATCACCGATTCAAAGTTCAAAATTTTGTACAACCCTGAAGTCAGTTGAAACATACAAACTTGCCAACAATTCCAACCAATCAGACCGCTGCAAATAATGGGTTCACAATTGTCTGAAACAGAACTCAACTCTTAGCCACTAGGACAATTAAAATTTTAAAATTTTAAAACTTTAAGTTGAACTAGTCTTTTTTATTCCTGAAGCCTTTTCTAGTATAAACAGTTGTATATACTTGTAAATCGTTAGTGTTTAGGATTATGTTTTTTTCTCTATGTAGAAATCCTTGAAACCTAAAGAATACCCTAGGGAGTAAACTATACACTGCAGTAAGCGTAATAAGATCTGTATCTAGGCTAGAGTCTAGAGAATAAGTTGTCTAGCCTAATTCTAATTTATAAATGAGGCAACACTGGGTCTCAGATGTTAACCCGGGGTCAGATGTAAAAAAGTGAAATATAAGAAAGCACGATATTTAATAATTTTGTTTCTTTTCTTAAACTTAAATATTTGATAAATTTTCTGTATTTTCTATCGGAATTTCAATCAAAATTTCTCCCCGAGTTAATCAGTTATTAAGAGATTTTTATATTTTATATTTGACCATAACGTTTAGTTTACAGAGTAGATAGTAGAGATTACACTGTACATTTCCAGAAAATAATACAGTAATAACCAAAAAACTAAAAACTAGACTTTTAGACTCAAGTTATGATTTTAAATGTCCAATGAATATGAGGCACAGCAATTGTGCAGTGTAAACAGACAGTGATTTAATAACTTGATTTTAAAACTATTTGCTTTGTAACATCAAATGCACTTTAGTATTGCTTTAATGTCGTCTTCATATTCTACAGTTTTCTGGTTTTAACTGTATTTATGGAACATTTAATCATTATTATTACTGAACTCTAAGCTGATAAATCTTAGTAAATGTTTTGTAAAAACACAAATACCCATTAGTAACATTGGTTGTTAAATTTCAGATTAATAGAAAAAAATTGTTTGAAATACTTTAGTAAAAAATGTCACTCAGAACTTCCTTTATAGGGTTGAACAATTCTTTAATAGATTTTTAACTTTCAGTCCAAATAACCGCGTCACGCTTTTGTCACACACCCAGTTCTTTTTATAATTCGTATATTTAAGAAGTTTTATCCCTTTATTATAAAAATAATAATATTCTAACCCCTATATCTTTCCAACCTGATGGTGTACACCTTTAAGATGTTAGGTACTTTCCCAAAGGATTTTTCCCAAGTGGCAACTTCCCAAGGGTATTTTCCCAAGTGCCAACTTCCCAAATGTGCAATTTCCCAAGCGGCAACTTCCTAAGTACTTCCTAGCCGCAGCGCTCGACCCCACCCTGTTCTAGCCGCGGCGCTCGGCCCCCCTTGCTCTCGGCCTCCCCCATTTCAGCCTGCGTCGCCTCAGAGGGCTTAACCTACTGAATGAAGTATAGGAAGGTATACTGCATGAAGCATAGGACGGTATATTGCATGAAGTATAGGACGGTAAAATGAATGAAGTATAGGACGGTATCTTGCATGGAGTATACGACGGTATATTGCATGAAGTAAAGGACGGTATACTGCATGAAGTATAGGACGGTATACTGCATGAAGTATAGGACGGTATACTGCATGAAGTATAGGACGGTATACTGCATGAAGTAAAGGACGGTATATTGCATAAAGTATAGGACGGTATACTGCATGAAGTAAAGGACGGTATACTGCATGAAGTATAGGACGGTATACTGCATGAAGTATAGGACGGTATGCTGCATGAAGTATTGTGGTTAACATTCTTTAAAAAGGAAGGAACTGTTATGTTCTAAGATAGTGGGGTCACTTGACAGTGGTAGGTTCGCAATATATGATTCGCAATATATGATTCAAAATAGCGAACAATCCCTTTCAGTAAAATAAAGTTTTCTTTACACTAAAGAAAAACAATTGTTTGTATTGTTAGAAGTCTCTCAACAATAATTGGGTTCATATTCTCATCTTTCAACCAAGGGCGTATACAGGGGGGGGGGCTTACAAGCTGAATAATCTGACTTGTTAGCCCAGACCCCGCCCTCCAGACACTCCAGGGAGGCGTTATCTAAACACAGATTATATAGATAGGATATTCTATAGATGGTTCATTCAAGAGATAGGACATGTCATAGATAGGACAATTCATAGAGAGGACATTCATTTTATTGTTCATCCTTCACCCTTCAATCTGCGTCCTTTGTCCTTTATACTTCATCCTTCATCCTTCATCCTTCATCCTCCATCCTTCATACTTCATCTTTTATCCTTCATCCTTCATCCTTCATCCTTCATCCTTCATACTTTATCCTTCATTCTTCATCCTTCATCCTTCATCCTTCATCCTTCATCCTTCATCCTTCATCCTTCATCCTTCATCCTCCATCCTTCATATTATTTATTCTTTCATCTTGCATCATTCATCCTCCATCTTTCATCCTTGCATCCTTCATCCTTCATCCTTCATCCTTCATCCTCCATCCTTCATACTTCATCTTTTATCCTTCATCCTTCATCCTTCATCCTTCATCCTTCATCTTTTATCCTTCATCCTTCATCCTTCATCTTTCATCCTTCATCCTTTATCCTGTATCCTTTATCCTACATCCTTTATCTTACATCCTTTATTATTTATTCTTTCATCTTGCATCATTCATCCTCCATCTTTCATCCTTGATCCTTCATCCTTCATCCTTGATCCTTCATCCTTCATCCTTCATCCTTCATCCTATCTTCATCTTTCATCCTTCATCCTTCATATTTCATCCTTAATGCTATCTTCATCCTTAATCCTTCATCCTTATCCTTCATCCTTAATCCTTCAACCTTCAACCTTCAACCTTCAACCTTTATCCTTCATCTCTCATCTGTCATCCTTCAACCTTCAGCCTTGAACATTCATCCTTCAACCTCCAACCTTCAATCTTCATCCTTCATCCAAGGTTCTTTAAGACTATTTTTCCATCAGCAAGTAAATGAAAAATGTAGATAGATGTATGATAGAAAAATGTTTCTCCTTTGATGGTTTAAAATGATAATAATTATTTTCTATCTTCTCTCTATATTGAGTTTAATGAGTTTTTTTACCAAATATAGATAAGATGTCCTCTACACGCAGTAGTTCACCATCATATTCAGCAATAGCGTACATAGGAAAAAAACTCTATAAACTTTTTTTGGAACCATATTTCTTGAACATAATCCTGTGCGCTCCCATTCTGCTATATTAATAGATTAATTAACAATAACAGACGGGACACTAGATGTCGTCTTTTCAAGATTTATGGGTTTTTCTTTTACAATAACCCTGAGGCAAAGGAGTTCCGCTCAGACAGTGTTGAATTACAGGACATGCGCGTAACTCCTTTGGGCCTCTGCCTCAGGGTTAATGTAAACGAACAACCCCTGAATCTTAAAAAGACGACATATAGTCTTCTATCTGCTATTGTTAATTAATCTATGGCTGTATTTTTTTTTATCTGCGCTTTTTTGGTTTTTCCGTAAGAGTTTTTTCAACTTTTTAATAACTTGATCTTTATCTTTCTCCTTTTTGTGTTCAATGACCGCTGGCCTGCCCTCCCCACATTCAACTTTAATTTGGTTGTTATACTGTATAGTTTTCTCTCCTATTTTGTTTTCCAATGGGATATGAAGCATAGAAGAAAAAATCATTAGACTTTATCATCCTTCATCCATTATCGACAATCTGACACCTATTATATAAATAGATAGATAAACCATTATCATCAACAATATCAATAGGACTTTTATCTCAAATGTTTTTAGTTTTTAGACCATCAAATCTCAATATATCCTTTTATATGACTTTATTTTTCACTATCATTAAATCTCTTTATTTTGTCCTCTAATTAAATCCCAATATTTTGGACAATTATAAATTCTCAATATTTTGAAATATCATTGAATCTCTATATATTGTACTATCAACAAATCTCAATATTTTAACAACAAATCTCAATATATTATTAAATCTCAATATTTTGGACAATTATAAATTCTCAATATTTTGGACTATTATTAAATCACTATATTTTGAACTATCATTAAATCTCAATATTTTGGACTATTATTAAATCTCAATATTTTGGAAAATTATAAATTCTCAATATTTTGGACTATTATTAAATTACTATATTTTGAACTATCATTAAATCTCAATATTTTGGACTATTATTAATTCTCAATATTTTGAAATATCATTAAATCTCTATATTTTGTACTATCAACAAATCTCAATATTTTGGACTATTATTAAATCTCAATATTTTGGACAATTATAAATTCTCAATATTTTGGACTATTATTAAATCACTATATTTTGAACTATCATTAAATCTCAATATTTTGGACTATTATTAAATCTCAATATTTTCGACAATTATAAATTCTCAATATTTTGGACTAATATTAAATCTCAATATTTTAAACTATTATTAATTCTCAATATCATTAAATCTCTATATTTTGTACTATAAATAAATCTCAATATTTTAAACTATTATTTATTCTCAATATTTTGAAATATCATAAAATCTCTATATTTTGTACTATAAATAAATCTCAATATTTTAAACTATTATTTATTCTCAATATTTTGAAATATCATTAAATATCTATATTTTGTACTCTCATTAAATCTCTATATTTTGGACTATCATTAAATCTCTATATTTTGTACTATCATTAAATATCTATATTTTGTACTATCAATAAATCTCTATATTTTGGACTATCATTAAATCTCTATATTTTGGACTATCATTAAATCTCTATATTCAAAAAAACTCATATTTTTGCTGCAAGTTAGGAGGAGTAATTCAATCATTATTAAAAAATATTTTCTCATAAACGTGTCCCCGTAATTTAAATTATTCGAGTCCAAGGACTCAAATTGGCTCATCAATGGTTGACTACGGTGTATTAATATGCTCATAATTATAATAATATAATGGTATAATGGTATAATAATATAATGGTTGACTACGGTGCTCATAATTTAACATATGAAACAAGATTTCCTTTCTTCCATTTTCCAACTGGAACATTTTTCAATATTCATTCAAAAGGTTTCGAAGTGGCTCATATGTTCCAATTTTCCCAATGTTTCTACCCACACCTTACATTTATATCATATATAATCTTAAACTAATCATTAATCAAGACTGCTCTTCTAATCCTCATTAAAATCACAACAAATATATTCTATTCTACAGTTAGGACTGGTTAGTAAAAGAACTATGCAAAATCAAATAGAAAGGAATTAAAAGTCTTTGCCACAAACCCAAATATTCTTATCCCCATATCTTAACAATCTGAAAAAGGATGATTTTAAACCAAAACTGAAAAAAGTAGGATGGTTTTAAACCAGACATTAAAAAAGAAGGATGGTTTCAACCTGCAGACCTTAAGAAAGGAAGCCAGAACTTTAAAAAGAAGAATGGTTTTAAACCAGACCTTAAAAAAGAAAGGATGGTTTTTAACCAGACCTTAAAAAGAAGGATGGATTTACACCAGATCTAAAAAAGAAAGGATGGTTTTAAACCAGACCTAAAAAATGAAAGGATGGTTTTAAACCAGACCTTAAGAAGAAGGATGGATTTACACCAGATCTAAAAAAGAAAGGATGGTTTTAAACCAGACCTAAAAAAAGAAAGAATGGTTTTAAACCAGACCTTAAAAAAAGAAAGAATGGTTTTAAACCAGACCTTAAAAAAAGAAAAAATGGTTTTAAACCAGACCTAAAAAAAGAAAGGATGGTTTAAACCAGACCTTAAAAAGAAGGATGATTTTAAACCAGACCTAAAAAAGAAAAGATGGTTTAAACCAGACCTTAAAAAGAAAGGATGAATGATTTTAAACCAGACCTTAAAAAGAAAGGATGGTTTAAACCAGACCTTTAAAAAGAAAGGATGGTTTAAACCAGAACTTAAAAAAGAAAGGATGATTTTAAACCACACCTAAAAAAGAAAAGATGGTTTAAACCAGACCTTTAAAAAGAAAGGATGGTTTAAACCAGACCTTAAAAAAAAAGGATGGTTTAAACCAGACCTTTAAAAAGAAAGGATGGTTTAAACCAGACTTTAAAAAGAAAGGATGTTTATAGAATTCAAATATACAACGGAAGGATAGTTGTAAACTAGAGCTTAAAAAAAGAAAGGATGGTTTCAAGCTAAACCTTAAAAAAAGGATGATTTATAAAAACAAATATAAAACGGAAGGATGGTTTTTAACCTGACATAAAAGGAAGGATGTATTCTGAATTAAAGATGGAATGAAAGAATGGTTTCGAATTCAAATTGTGCAGATTGGTTTGAATTAAAAATGGAAAAGAAGAGAATATTATTTTAATAATCTGCAGAAAGAATTGTTCTACACCAAATATTTAATGAAAGAAAAACTGCTTTGACGGATAAGTATAAAAAGTTCATTTTTTTCTCCTAGTGCTACTTTTTTTGCCTATAACTCTGATACTTACTTGAGGTATCATAAAGAAGTCCATTTAATTCCGCCATACAAGGGAGACTAGCTGTATCTCCGGCTTCGGTCGGGGACCAGCAGGATATCCTATTTACTCAAACAAATTCAATTCAGAAACCAAACCAAACATTTTGGGAGATTTGATGATGTTAAATGTTTCGTCGCCATTTTGAATTATGTCACGTGATGTGTAAATACTGCATAATCTGCATGTACAAATTACTTTTTTGAAGAATATAATTGGTCATGTGGTTACGTGTAAAGAATCGTAAAACAAAGTACGATATCAATTATTTCTTACCAGACACTTTTATTTATTATTATTTAAGAATTCAGCATTTTTATATTTTAAAGATCTAATAAATTTGTAAAACTTAATGATTATTACTTAGTAATTGATATTCTTCTAAATTCATAGAATTCTTTTAGAATAAACATTTCTTTTCAGTTTGGGTTACGAACACTTCTACGTAGGAGCCTTTCCAGAAACCTTCTCAATGCGCTTTGTTACCTTAGTTATCTTAACATACACCGAAACGGAATAATAAAAATATGGAAACAGTCAGAAAAATTCCCTGCAGTTGTCTCTGTCATTCTTTGCGGGTAACCCTGTATATATAAGTTTAATAAATATAAGAATATTAGATAAGTTAATATGAATAAAAAGACGAATTTTAACATATCGTAGAAAATCTGCGTTAAAACTTAGCAAGGAAAAATAAAATTTAAAAAAATTTAAGTCTGGATGATTTAAACCAACCTCCAGGTTCAATTTTCTACTGGCGCATATAGTATACTTTTAAAATTTAAAACTTTCATTAAATTTTGAAATTTTAGTTTTGAAAATAATAATGAATAATATTTGAGTATTTTCCTGTCCCAATATGGTGGGCAGAAGGTTCCAGTTTTCTCCTGGTTGGACTCCAACCAATCTCTCTCCTCTGTCTCACATTCAACCCGTCCTGGACTATCCTCAAACACAAACCCATAGTCTCCGTACTCAATGTAGGATGAGTTAATGTCGTCATAGTTCATATTTGCTCTAATCTATTCTGCTCGAAACTCCATGTTTGTCACTAAATCCGCGGTTCTTAAATCCTCAAAATTCACTTGAAAATTCATAAACCATCAAGAGTCACTAAATCAGCTGTTCTTAAATCATCAAGAGTAACTTTATCAGCTGTTCATAAACCATCAAGAGTCATTAAATCAGCTGTTCATAAACCATCAAGAGTTACTTTATCAGCTGTTCATAAATCATCAAGAGTCACTAAATCAGCTGTTCATAAACCATCAAGAGTCATTTAATCAGCTGTTCATAAATCGTCAAGAGTCGATTGTCAGCTGTTCATAAACCATCAAGAGTCACAAAATCAGCTGTTCTTAAACCATTAAGAGTCACTTAATCAGCTGTTCATAAACCATCAAGAGTCATTTAATCAGCTGTTCATAAATTGTCAAGAGTCGATTGTCAGCTGTTCATAAACCATCAAGAGTCACAAAATCAGCTGTTCTTGAACCATTAAGAGTCACTTAATCAGCTGTTCATAATCTATCAAAAGTCACTAAATCAACTGTTCTTAAAACATTAAGAGTCACTAATTCAGCTGTTTATAAAGCATCAAGAGTCACTAAGTCAGTTGTGCTTAAAACATAAGTCACAAAATCACTTGTTCTTAAACCATTAAGAGTCACTTAATCAATTATTCTTAAACCATCAATAGATCTTCTATCTTCACTAAATCAGTTCTTCATAACCATCAAGAGTCACTCAATCAGCTGTTCTTCGATCTTCTAGAGTCACTAAATCAGCTGTTCAAGAAAAATTACCTGAAAAATAATGTGGTTAAAAATGTGGTTAAAATAATGTGGTTAAAATGTGGTTAAAATAATGTGGTTAAAAATGTGGTTAAAATAATTATAATATTCAGTGTACAGTGTTCAGTATAATATGTACTGAACACCACTAGTAAATAATATTCAGTGTACAGTGTTCAGTATAATATGTACTGTAGTAAATAAGTTTTGAGATGAAAAATTCCTTCGCAGAATGTTTTTCTATTGAAAAAGGATGAAAATAAAAGATGAAGATGACACTGGTATAAAATCAATTCTAGCATCAAAAGAAAGTTTTTGACAATCTTTGTCATCATGATTCTAAATAATAGTTTAGGAGAGATGAAAGAATATTCTTGCAAAATGCCAAAAAATGTAATGTCCTAGGAAAAAGATTAAATCTGAGACTTCTCCTTCACTTCCCTTACTCCTCTCCCCTTACTCCCTTCCCCTTCCTCCTTCCCTTTTTCCAACCTCATTCTCCTCCCCTTTCTCCTTCTCAATTTCATTCTCCTTCCCCTCTATTTCCCTCCTTACTCCTCCCTTCTCATTCTCCAAATTTTGAATTCGGTATAACCGACATTATAATGCTTAGCAATTGTGCATTATTATTGCGTCTCATATTTTTATATGGAAAACTTTCCAAGATTAAACAATTTTTGTTGACATTTGATAATATTTATATATTTGAACCAACAAATTCAATTTTTAGATGTTTTTTTTACATTTTATGATAAATACATTGGTAAAATAAATAAATAGTTTATATTTGGAACTAGAATATTTCATTTTAATACCAGAAAAACAAAATAAATGAATAGTTAAGCCAAAATATCGAAATAAAAGTTTTAAGTATGTGTTTTTTAGCCATTAAATATGATTTTATGAGCTGAAGAGAACCTTGGTTAGAATATTTTAAAGTCTATAATTAGGATTAGTATAAAGTTAAGATTTTAAAGGTTGTATTCATTTTTTCTCGCGAAAATCAATCTCTGCTCACTACTGAACCGTCTGAACTTCTTCAATCTCTGCTCACTAATGAACCGTCTGAACTTCTTCAATCTCTGCTCACTACTGAACCGTCTGAACTTCTTCAATCTCTGCTCACTACTGAACCGTCTGAACTTCTTCAATCTCTGCTCACTACTGAACCGTCTGAACTTCTTCAATCTCTGCTCACTACTGAACCGTCTGAACTTCTTCAATCTCTGCTCACTACTGAACCGTCTGAACTTCTTCAATCTCTGCTCACTACTGAACCGTCTGAACTTCTTCAATCTCTGCTCACTACTGAACCGTCTGAACTTCTTCAATCTCTGCTCACTACTGAACCGTCTGAACTTCTTCAATCTCTGCTCACTACTGAACCGTCTGAACTTCTTCAATCTCTGCTCACTACTGAACCGTCTGAACTTCTTCAATCTCTGCTCACTACTGAACCGTCTGAACTTCTTCAATCTCTGCTCACTACTGAACCGTCTGAACTTCTTCAATCTCTGCTCACNGGGGGGGGCATGTAATAACAAGTTGGTAATGAGTTCATATGAAAAAGTCATAAACAAAAACATAAACATGATTATGGAAACTTACATCATGTCGAAAAAATAATATAACAAGGAAAACAATAATTCTAGAAACAAATACACACACCCGTCCTGAACAAAAATATAAGTTTGATTAAAAACCCATTGGATGAGACCTATCCCATGAGTGAAAGCTGGATATCTGTTGGACTTATGTTCACCTTTTTTTAAGATCTGATTTGATCCTTCTTGTTGGTATAGTTATAGACCATAGAAACCCGAAATACATAAATAAAATATCTCTACGCAATATCTTACGTTTGGAACAAGATACAATGTTTTCAATCATAGTTTTAGATCACACGGTACTTTTTCAACAGTTTTGTTATGATATTGAACCTAACTAGCTCTGCTCGCGCGGAACAGACAAAAACAGTCATGATGACCTCAATTGACCTTTGATAAAATATTTTCTTGTTCTTGAAAATGTTTATTAAAAGTACTGGAACACCTTTAAAATCCATGGTCTATGGCTACACCAAGAAGGATCATATCAGATTTTAAAAACTGGTGAAAATAAGTCCAACAGATATCCAGCTTTCACTCATGGGACAGGTCTCATCCAATGTGTTTTTAATCAAACTTATATTTTGTTGAGGAGGAGTGTGAAGTGTGCACAAGCTCAAACTAAAGAGTAAACACATAAATATTATTGAAGAAATCAAAATGTTGAAAATACTAAAACTTCATTTTAAGCCATGGATTTTTTAGTTATTTGGGGGGGAGGTGCCAAATTTATTAATTTGTAGCGTGAAGATTTAATTAAGAATGATGCAATTTTTTAATTTAAAGTTATTCTGAAAATAAATTTTACATTACAGTACATTTGGTTAAAAATATTGATTTAAAGACATGCATGCATAATTAATTGTGAGGCAGGCTAAGTTTGATCTGCATCCTTTAGATTTTTTTTTGCGGATTTGTTTTTCTGCCAATTTGCGAAAAAGTTTACAAATTTTAAGTTCTTATATTTGGTGCAAATGAGTCAGAGGAATGTTGTTGAATACTATTAGGCCTAGGATCTTGACAAAGATGGGGCGGGGGCGGGGTTCCNGTTCAAAGTGTACAAATCATGTAAATGTTCACAAATTATATGCAGTATAGAACATTAATACAGTATGTTCCCTAGACTATCCATTTCAATTTCGAATTTTTTAAAGCTGTTAAATAAACTATATAAAATGAATTAGGTGAATAAAAACCATCATTTGATTTATAGTTATAACGGAAAATTATCGTTTGTAAAGTGAGCGGCATAGCATCTATGTAAAATGATCATTGGTCAATTATGAAACCAGCCTATTTCATAATTTGGTTTTCTTTTAATATTAATTTTAGATTTTCTATGAAATGATGTTCCAGGGCCCAAAAGGTTATATAACACAAATATGTGAAGTACACTTGCAGTATGGAAACAGTACAACAAAATGGCCGTTTTACACTTTTTTCTAGAAAATTCCACTCTAATATATATTCTATTCTCTTTGGAATTAGGTCTGTCAACACTGCACAAGTGCTGATTTAATGTACTTTGAACTGTTTAAAGTTATATATATATACTGTATATAGATAGATAGATAAAATATAATTATTATGTTAGATTTGAGTTGATTATTAATATATTGTTTATTTGATATTATTTTTATGCAACAAGTTTTACTAATAGATCACGTTCCTCTACCGCTTTAGTGGATGTAAATTCAAATAGAAGGAGCCTGAAGTCAGACCGTATGACCAGGCGGGACAGTCCAAACCAGGACCAAAAGGTTGGCCCAGTTCGGATATACCAATGTACACCGGTTGTGTGTGAGCTTAATAATCAACTTATTTAGTGAATTGGGTCTTTCAACAAGTGCTGTGTTTAATGTTTACTGAACTATTTCAAGCTATAACTTAAGTCTAACAGTCGTCTTCCTATTCTCACTGTAGGCATGTATTTAACGAATAGATAGATAGAATATAATTATCATGTCAGATTTGAGTTAATCATTTATTGTACTACTTCACCTCTAATAACGAGTTTGGTCTTCTTGACCCGCCTTTAGTGTAATATTCTTTTGCTGATATATCTATCGTGATACCCATAAAAATGTGGAATAGGAAGACGATATCTATGCAATCTGATGTTTGATATTTTTTGTAAGCAAAAAGTTTTACAAATATGAAATAGCTTAAAAGTTAACTTATTAAATGAATTGGTTCTATGTACACACCGTACTGTACAAGTGCTCTATGTACACACCGTACTGTACAAGTGCTGTGGTTTTTATGTTCATTCGACCATCTAAAATAATGACTTGAGTTTGTTTAAACTTGATATAGGGGATTCTTTAATTCAAACATACACTAGGTTTTTACGTGAAAGATAGCAGAATAAGAAAAGGAGAAGGTGTAAAAATATGAAAATGATAAGAGAGAAAATAGAAATGAAAACGTTCAGCGGGAAGAAAAGGAAGAAAAATGAGAAGGAAGGGCACTAGACTAGAGTATGGGAGAAGAAGAGAAGAACTGGAGTATGAGAGAAGAAGAGAGGAACTGGAGTATGGGAGAAGAAGAGAAGAACTGGAGTATGGGAGGGGAAAGGAACTGAAGTATGGGAGAAGAAGAGAGGAACTGGAGTATGGGAGAGGAAGAGAAGAACTGAGTATGGGAGAAGAAAAGAAGAACTGGAGTAATGGAGAAGAAGAGAAGAACTAAGTATGGGAGAAGAAGAGAAGAACTGAGTATGGGAGAAGAAGAGAAGAACTGAGGATGGGAGAAGAAGAGAAGAACTGGAGTATGGGAGAAGAAGAGAAGAACTGGAGTATGGGAGAAGAAGAGAAGAACTGGGGTATGGGAGAAGAAGAGAAGAACTGGAGTATGGGAGAAGAAGAGAAGAACTAGAGGATGGGAGAAGAAGAGAAGAACTGGAGTATGGGGGAAGAAGAGAGGAACTGGAGTATGGGAGAGGAAAGGAACTAGAGTGGATTGATTGATAGTGGTAGAATATTCTGAAGATTGATGTGGTTGGATAAAAGAGAAACAAGGATTAATGCTCTCTCAATGTTTAGTTTAGTTCTAGTCTATGCTTGATAAACTGTATAATCTGCAGTGTGCAATCTTATATTTGTAAATCTTATTCAAACAAATTTGTTTTTCCTGTTTTTTAGATTTTTCTTTTTAATTCTAATTTCTGAATACTCTCTCCTATAATTTCTCTCAAGCTTTTTGTTTAAGCTAAGCTACATAGTCAGAGTTATTTAAACCTGAAGCGTAAACTTTTGAATTTTATTTTAATTAGTTTAGGAATGATTTTATTAAAGGGGTGTAGGGACTGCTGAATCCATTTGAGGGAGTTTTTAACAGATTTAAAACACATAAGTTTTTATCATTGTAATACTATTATTCTTTGTCTGCAATCCTGATATTTTC